TGATAAAATAATTCCTTTACTGTTTTTCCTGAATATATCTTAGGGGTTTAGCCTTCCATAGAGCTGGTGGCAGTGTCCACTGTGAATTATGATATTCACCATATCCTCCATTAAAAATATTGTTTTCTTTGAGGATAACCAAATTGGTAGTCTGGTCTATAAATTGGCTGTGGATTTTGCCGTGCTGGTGGGTAAACAGCTGGTCCTAATAGATCTGTGTTTGTAGCTTCTGGAAGGGCATATTAAGGCACTTAATGGAAAAGTGGATTAACAGGGATGTATGCTGGGCGTACAAGAAGGTACGCACGGCATACAAGCCATCAACCAGTACGCTTAGCATACCCAGGAGTACGCCCCGCATACTATGCCAGTTTGGGCTTTGCGTTTTTGGGCCTCGGCTTGAGCTGTGTTTTGGACTTCGGGCCTTTAAGCCATAATGGGTCATCAGGAGTCAGTTAATATGGGCCAAAAATATGTTATGGGCTTAGGGTAAGGCCCATTAAAGGGATTGGGCCCAATATAGCAAATTAGGCCATTAGTGGGCCACTAGTGGGCTTGAGAAGCTTATCTAGTATTGGGCCTTGTGAATCATGGTAGTGGACCTTGGATATGTATCAAGTTGGACTATGAGGGGTAGAATGGTCATTCTACACTATGAAGAATTATTGTATTAGACTAAGTGATGTTTTGGTATTGATAGCTCGGGGAGCCGAAGGAGCAGAGGTTCGGGAATTGTCACATAGCAGCCATAAGGATATCAGCAAGGGTTCAGTAGTGCAAGGTGAGTCTCCTCATTGTGTGAATGGGTCTAAGGCTACAATGTCGACCCATGTAGTTTATGAGTACGAAGACCCGGGGGTTAACCCTAGGCATTGTATGCTATTATGTTATTCCGGACTAAGGTTCGATGTAGGGCGGGAGCCCGAGGCAGGGTTATATATATGTGATTCCGGACCAAGGTCCGATGTCAGTCGGGTGCCCGGAGAATGTTTGCATGTTAGATTATACTTGTTGTCTGTGTGATACTTGTATATGCCTGGTAGGGAGGTGAGTGTGGCCAAGGACCCATATCTCATCACTAGCAGAGTAAGGCCAGGGTTCCGTAACTCATTAGTAGCATAGCGGGGGCGAGGCCCGAGATAGGAGAAGAGTGAACGTCGGTGGGGGACCGTATCTCACCAACATCAGGAGCATGGACGGTTTTTCATGACTCACAAGTAGCAAGATAAGGGCGGGGCCCAAGATAGGCGAGGCCTTAGTATAGGATTACAGTAGAGTATGTTTAGATTATGTGTTATGTGTTATATGTATGTTAGCGGGCGGGGCCCAGAGACAGACGGGGCCTAAAGAGGAACATATATGTATACCGAGCGGGGCTTGATGCCAGGCGGAGCCCGATGCCAGATTGAGTCTGATGTCGGGCTAGTCCCAATGCAGTGGGCGGGGGCCCAGTATGTGTTGGAATAGTGTCTAAGGCTGCAACTATATTAGGCAAGTATTTGACCCGATTGTGCATGGTCCTTTTGGGTTGCCTTCACCATAGCAACTTGGTAGGATGATTCATTATGAGAGAATAGATATTATTAATATATTATGAGAATAATATAAGGAATAATAATATTGTTATTTGACTAATATAAGTCATAGATTAATTAGTATTAATTTGGTGACTTAAAGAGATTAATTAAATAAGAGGGTATAAACTGTCAATTGTTTGATAGTTACACTTTAGGCTATGAATCCTTATAGGATATAGGGTGGACGATTTCTAGGGATAGGATAAGCCTAAAATCGTCCAAGGCATATCCAAGGAAAGGATTAGGATTACTTAGAGTCTAAGTTATCCAATTAGGGTTTAAGGGTAAAACCCTAGGAGCCTTACAAGTATAAATAAACCCCTTGGGATAGGGAAATCGGGATCTCCTCTACAACAAGGATACCCTGGCCGATTTCCTCCTCTCTCCTCTCTCTCAAATCATTCTCTTTGCTAGTTGGTGTTTGTAAGCCATTAGAGGAGTGAGAATTGTGACTCTAAAGCTCCAAGAACAAGAAGATCAAACAAGTGTGTCAAGGTAAGCTTCTAACTCTGGTTTTGTATTGTTCTTATACCTAATTAGCCATTAGAAGTCTTGGATTCATTGCATGTTTAATTAGAGAAACCTAGATCCAAGCATTAGGGTTTGTATGTGCACATAGGAATGTTCATATGACCAAAACCCATCAGTATGTGGTTATGTGTATGGTATGTCATAGGTTGGGGAACTCACTAAGCTTCGTGCTTACGGTTTTTAGTTTTGGTTTCAGGTGCTTCTGGTAGCGGAGGGAAGAGCTGGGGATGATCGCATGGCACACACCATTGTTTATTTAGCCTGGGATGTTTTACTCTGATAAAGGAAATAATGTTTTAGACATGATATTCTAATGTGATATGTTTTGTATGAATGGTTAGCACTTGTGGTTTTATTATTAAATCAAAAACGAAATTTTTAGTCTTGATTTTTGGGGTGTTACATTTGGACATTCTTTCATCGGAGTAATTATTTTTGTTATGTTCATCGCTATAATTACTTTTAATGTTTCTCATCCTATGGGTCTAAAATATCGTTGAAATCCCCACGAAAGACCTCATTTGCTACTACAGTGACCTGAGACCCAGTGCACCAAATGGGGCGTGACTCCCACCTGTAACACTGACCCTAGTTCTCTGTGTTCACTGCTCCTACTTTGCATGTATGAACACGATGTGTTGCCGTTCGAGGGTAGTACAACTGTACTTCCAAACACATACCTACACCCAAATAGGATGCTTGATCTGGCATCTCCGGATGGCCAACATCACTTTAGTCCTCGTACACTGAGTGCATCGGAAGCATGTTTCGAAGTGGTTACCTATAAAACCACTCGACATCGACTTGGCTTAAGCTCTTTTCCTCCAACGATATCCTTCCACCACGATATCCAATAGGGCACACACCTAAGATTAGGTTTCTACCATTTTACCCCCTCTATATGTATTACCCTTGATTTTAATTAATTTTATAATTAATCAAACCACTTGCATGGAGCGTACATACACCTCACCATTAACATTATGTAATCATGCTCGTATATTATTATTATTATTATTATTATTATTATTATTATTATTATTATTATTATTATTATTCCTTGGCATATTACATCTCACATCATACATCAAAGGTATACTTTCAAAATTACTACATGGCATCATTTTGTAGCTTGTAAAGAAATACATCTTTTAACAACCAACTCTAGCATGCAATTTTTAATTTCATTAAATTATGACAAAAACAGAAATATAACATGCATATCATAACATTTTAACATGAATGAACCTCACTACTACCATAACCCTAATACTCTCTTTTTGCATCGAATAATCAATTTAAGAATTCTAGCATAAAGGTCTCGTAAATCAATTGTTACTGCAAATACTTCATAATTTCAAATTACATACAACTCATATTTCCATATTATAGCATCACACAAAATCAATTAGACCTAGCATATGTACAAGAGCATGCAATTTTTCCATACTTGTGCCTAAACAACCACAAGAATTGACTCACCTCTATTCCAAGATGTATGGGCTATGAATAGAGGAAAGGCACCTTCAAACAAGAAATCTAACACCCCTAAAAGATTACACCAATACCTCATCAAAACAGAGCACAAAAATTGAAATGGTTTTGTCCAGACAGAAACCACGTTGTGGTGAGGAAGATGCCATGTCGTGGTCCGAATCTCACTCGCAATTTGAATCGATCAACTCTCGCCTCCACGTCGTGGCAACTAGTTGTCCATGTTGTGGGGTCGCTGGCAATTACAAACCAGAAAATCGATTAACTTTCTTCTCCTGCTCGATTTGGATCCGATCAAAGCCTCTTTTGGGATGATCTTAACCCCTCTAGACTATATTTAAATGTCCATATGACTAGATTAAGAATGGAACCAACCAACACATCTAAACCATGGATTTTTAGCATCACATAAGGTTTCTTCTTGTGTGGGGTTTGAAGAACAACAAGATAATCTAAAGGAAATATTCATACATTATGGAAAATCCAGAAATGAATCCACCCAGGTTGCAAGGAGAGAAAGGCTTCAAGAGCACCACCAAAAATCCACAACAAACACCAAAACTTCACTTCTACTTCACTTGCTTCACACAAACTCCAAGGAAGGAAAACAATCCAAGAACACACTTCAAAGTAAAGAGGAGGATGCCAAGTAGGGTTTAATCCCGAATTCTAGGGTTGTGGTGGCTTAAATACTTGTTAACTTTCAACTTAGGCCCCTTAAGTGTGAGAAAATGACCACATGGCCCATGTAGATGAAAATGATTAGTTATCATTTTCTTGCACTTTGACCTTAAAAGTTGTGGTTTTGTTAATATTTGTCACCCTAGTTGGTAGGGATGTCAAAAAATCCAGTGCGGGCCCCGTCCCGTTTGGGGGATTTTTTTCAAAAAAATCGGGGGCGGGGGCAAGGTTAACCCCCGTTTTAATTTCGGGGGCGGAGACGGGGTAGGCAATCTCGTCCCGAAATTCCCATGGGGACCCCGTTAATAAATTACACATATTTACATATATTAATTATATAAATATAATAAACTATAACATGATTTTGAGCTTCCAAAATTCATCAAAAAACATGTTTTTAAGCTGTTAGTATAATTTTTTAAAACGCCATAACTTTTTTTATTTTTAACATATAAAACTTTGTTATAAATAATTATTTGTTACCTAAAAAATAGCTTATTTTAGCCTAAATAACTTCTTTTAGCCCAAAAAAAGTAGCCCACAATCAATCGGGAGCGGGGGAAGAGGGGCAGGGGTAATAAAGGGGATTCGGGGGCGGGGGGACGGGGAAATTTTGGGGGCGGGGGCGGGAGATGCACTCCCCGCCCCGTTTGCCCCTGTTGACATCCCTGCTAGTCGGACATGATTTCACTTACATGTATATTAGCAACATAAATTCCAACAATTACTATAATGTTCAAACATCAAATCCACAAAATGATAGGTGTTACAATAATTACAAGAGTAATGTGGAAATCATGATTTAATAAATCTAGTAGCAATAGTGTTACACTACAATCCTCATAATAAGGAGCTTATGTTGGTATATCTATCTAACTCTCTCCCATGAGTACAACATATTTATCACCCATCCACATGCTATCTTCCTACAACTCTACTAATCTTAATACGCTACTCCAAAAATGCTTAACTAGAGTCTCTCTTCAAATTCCCTGGAAAAACATAATAAAGGCATGATATCAATGCTTTACACACACACACACAACTCGGAGGTTAACCCTTTCAACAAAACCACATGAGGAAACCATGACCGCAAGGCTAAGTGGGTATCCTCTCATAAGTGAGCAACTATTTCATGAAGTAACGAATTAACGTATAGTTTTAACTCTAGTCTACATATATTATCTAACTATACCCAAATAATATTGTAATAAAATTTATAGTTTCTACTTATTAACTAATTAAAGTTGTAACTTAACTAAAATAAGAATTTAAAAAATAAATAAATAAATAAATAATGGTTTTACTTAAATTACATAAATAAAAATGGGTTATCTTGCAAATTTTCATTACATTCCACGATTGAATGAAAGAAAACACCCAGCGACTAAGGAATGAAAAATCACGAAATGGAACAAACAGTCAAACACATTCCTTCAATAACGATCCACATTCCATTAGATAAAACTATTAATTTTTATTTTATTTATTTTAATGGAATGAGTCATTCTATTCCTTCCCCTCTTCATCATATCAAATGGAATGACTATATGTTATTTGGTAAAATGTATAAAAGTCAGACAGGTGGTACCTAACCTGGGCAATACTACGATTAGATCCACAGAAAACTGTTCCTGGTATTAGCCCAAATATTGGCAGTCGGAAGCATTGCTTAATTATACACTCCAAATCTGCAAGGTCAAAATGGTAAATTAATAGTCATACTTCAGAATACAACTTAATGAATGTATTACACTTTAAATGTTCATTTAGCAAGGCCTTAATACAATTATGTTTGGTTTTTTAAAACCAATAACCAAGTTTCACAATAGTTTGTTTTTTTCCGGTTCAACCACCGAAAGATTTTTTTTTTCTAGTTTAACCACTAAGACTTTGCTTTTGTTTTAGACACCTACAAAAAACTTTGAATTCTATTAAACCACGATAGTTTGAAATTTGGTCGGTTTAACAATGTGGAATTTTTTTTATGATTCAACTAAAAACTTTTATTTTAAAAAAAAATGAACCAGAAAATATTCTTCCGATGGGTTTTTGCAATTCATTACCAGAAAGCCCTCACAGTGGTATTTGTTTAAGAAAAAAAAAAACAATAGTGGTTTTTATGGAATTTGCCCTTATAAGTTATAACAATAATGTAACTTTTGAATAAAACAATTTTAGAGCATTGTATATATCAAAACTACACTCTAGGGGACAGAAATCTAATGTTCAACTAAGGCAAGAGTGTTGGTAGTATTGACTATTGAGTGCCCATGGAAGCACCTAATGTACTTTATATATTGTCGGTTTTACCCTCGCTAATTACATATTATTATTCTTGGAACCATAACATTTATTCTAATTGTAAGACCAAAACTAGTATATAATGAACAATAAAAAAATAGGAGGGACTATGCAAATTTTAAGCTATATTAACTATCAAAAGTCAACACCATGGAAGTTGTTACATATGATTCTTTCTTTTTTGACGTACTATGAAGAGAATGACTAAATATAGACAGAATGAATTAATGGGTTGAGACAAAAAAAATATATAGTAATAATAAGACACAAACCCTTTACATATTGCTCTTCTTTCTTTTCCTCCAAACTCCTCTCATGTTAAAATTGATGGATCTTAACAAAACTGATAAATATTGTGAAATTTGTTTTTTAGAATGCAAGGATAAAACTTTCATGTAGTCTCAGTGAGACGGTTTATTCAGTCTAGAAAAGAAACAGACTTTATATATATATATATATATATATATATATATATATATATATATATATATATATATATATATATATATATATATATCCAGATAGACATCATAACCTATTCAGTCACTTTAGCCATACATGACTTAATGAGAAAAAACAAAAGAAACACCATGAAAGAAAGATAAACTTACAGTGCAAGGAAAGATTATATATTGTCCATGTGAATAGTTAAACTCCAAGTTGAACTTGAGCCTCATGTATATCCTTATTATTGGATTCTAATCCTGGGAATTGACCAATATCATGTCCATCCAACGGTTGAAATTCATCATGTAAACCAACAGCAAACTCATCTGGTCGTGATCCTCCGCTTTTCAGATAATCTGCAGTCTATATAAAGATTAAATTGTTAACTTTAATCTCCATACAATAGTGAATTATAGAGATTAATGTCACTAAATAGCAACCAAGTTTCACACTTGTTCCCCCTAGGTTTTGTTCCAACATTATAGAGATTAAATTTTTTGTGTTCCATTGTTGTATCTTTTTGTTGACATGGCGCTGATGTGGACATATGACGTGGCAAGTTTATTGAAACAATTTTATTATATAGTGTAATCAAGTTTCAGTTTTGTTCCACCGTTGTGAAAAATGTTTAAACATTAAAGGGAAAGAATGTTTCTTTGCTGGACTTAAATGAACTATCTGAATGAGAATAAATGACCATTTTACCCTTTTTTTTATAAAATGATGCCTACTGTTGTAAATGGAGCGCGATAAATGAAGAAAGCTTACATGATTTGCTAGGGAAATTCCACTTAGGGCTGCAGCCTCTAAACTTGATCCGAGCAACCAATCACCACAAATGCCAGCTCTTCCAAGAGGATCAAAAATGCAAGGAATACCAGGGCTATTTGTAGGAAGAGCTGCACCCCTGTGCATATCAAGAAAAAAAAAAAAGTTAAAATAAGATTCATAAATAAATAGGCATATATATATCTTCCAATGGTAAAACATTGACTCTTTTGGTCTGAAGAATTCGTATCAAAAACCACTTTGTTGCATAGATTGAAAAAGAAATGGTAAAACATTATATGGTATATATGCACATTAACCCTAAAGTTAAAACCATAAATTACCAACAAAACCTAAAATTCATACCACAATTGTACACGTGTATATATTGGTTTCTTAAGTGATCCAATTGGTACCCCTAGGGCATTCTCAACACCTGCAAGCATCAATCCTTTCACCTTCTCTGCTGTGGCATTAGGAATATTCTCCTAATAAAACATCAAACAACAAGAAGCAAAACTCTTACATAAAAAAAACAACATAGTTTAAATGATGGAGGGCATTTTGGTCTTTTTGGCATAGATGGAGTACAGACCTGTGGAACTTTATGGCGCTTTCCGAAGGATGATGTGCTGAAAATGGTCCAACAATGAGGTCCTTCATTCTGAGAATTGAATAGTTTTTGTGTGTTGTTTCCTATCCATGATATGGAGTCGATTCCTTTTACAAAAGCTCCTTCAAATGGAATTCCAGCTGCTTTGGGGGGTAAAGGAAGAGGCTCTTCAAATGCAGCTAGAAGAGCCCATATAGAACTAAGATCAAGTCTCTGTAAATACAACAATAGCTATGAATAAAAGGGTGTTTGGTTCACAGAATGTTTTTTGTTGAAGTGATTGGGATTTTGGTTGACAAGAAATGGAATGAAATTGAATTCCATTCCTTTGTATAAATCTGTCTAAGGATTTGGAATGCAAATGATGACAAATGATAGGATTTTTCTTAACTGATTTCTTGTTTATGGAACTTATTTAATTACTTGGAAAGATATACAAAATTATACTTTTATTAATTTCTTGTTCATGGATATTTTTTAAAATTATTTTTAGGTAAAGAATAAGTTATATAAATTAGCAAACATTAATCTATCATCCACACACAAAGACAAGTTAGGAAAAAAATGCTTAACAATAAATTAAAATTTTAATAATAAAAAGAAAAACCAATATACTAGAATGTTATGTTAAAAGAATAGAGTTTCGAAACGGTATTTTAGTCATCAAGACAAATAAGGCTGGATTGGAATCGAATTCCATGAGTTAATGGAATGAAACTTGAATTCCATCATCCATATGATTTTGTGAATTCCAACGGAACTCAGTTCCCCAGACGTGGGTATGGAATTCAATTCCATTCCGGCCAATTCCTAAGGAATCCTGATGTAGACAAGGGAAAAATTTATGTGTAAAGTTCAGATATAATATACCTTCATTTGTCTTGCAATAAGTGGTAATCCTGATGTGGAAAGCAATCTGTTTGCACATTTACCTGATGATAGAATAGAACAACAACAAAAGAACATTACATCAGAGATTCATGAAAGGGGAAAAAGCAAGGTCTCTGATAGTAAATTTCATCAATGAGAAAAGCAATAGACAAAATATGCATAGATAATTTGCATAAAGCATGACGAAATGGCATCATATATAGTATAAAATTTTGTTCAAGTGTCATGATAAATATGTAACTTAAATATCACCATTATGTGCAATAACAATGGCATCAAATTCTCCACGATGTTTTCCATTCTCACTCAAGTGCCACATTCCATTGAAAGGTTCAATAGAGCTTATCCAGCAAGGCCTCACCACATTTACCATGGAACTCTGAAACACAAGTAAAGTTTCCAGTTAAATAATATTTAAACAAACAAGGGCATATTGGTAAAAAGATAGAATTTCATAGGGAAAGCCTCTTTCCCCTAACTTCCTCTATTAATCCGTTTTTTTCTGCATTAAGTAAATCAGAAACACTCATATATAGCTCACCAGATTAGATCATGTTCCCATTAAGTAAAAAATAGTGACAAAAGAATTATGAGGGGTAAAATTGTAAACTATGTACCTGTGAAAGTAGTGAATCTGCAAGGGTACGCATTCCATTGATGGCTATATATCTGGGAGGGGAAGAAGGAAATGGAAAGAAATCACCACCAGCTTCAAGCTCTCCAATTACACCTACTGACTCCCGAACATACCCTTTGTGGGACCAATCATCAACCAGCTCAGAAAACAGAGGATTACTTACAGTAAAAAATTGAGCTGCATGATCAAATATCATTGAAGGGTCAACTGTTCTAGTGCCCATTCTTCCCCCAAGTCCATGGATTCCCTAAATGTTACAGAAAAATAAGTGAAACACATTTTAACTATCTAAGCTTAATCACACTAGACTTACGCCTTGGGTATAACCATGTAATTATTTATAAGAGATTAAGGAAGCTTGAATCTTGAACCAATTATCATGCTTGATTGGTCATTTTCTTTATAGGATCATGCAAAGTCATATTCTCTTCTATAGAGTCTAGACATAATCCTACAAACCATTCATGGACAAAAGATTTCCATGAATCTAACACCCTCCACTCGGTGAATTTGACATGCATAGCTAGTTTTCATCAAGTATTATAAAGCTTCTGGATAAGAAAGATAAGCATGGAAAACTATGCCTTCCATTAGAAAAAGTTATTTTCAACTTCAAAATCCATGTGCAGCTAAGCTATTAAATGAATGGGATGCCTCTGCTGCCTTTCCTTGACATTACTATTGCTATGCACATCAACTATTTGATGAAATGTCTCAATCAACTTGTAGTTGTAGAACTCAGCTCACTTAATATGGCATAACATAGAAAATCGAAATATTTAAATAATTTATCAGAAAAGTGAGCCAATAGTATCTGCAGACTCTGATTCAACAACATAAATTCATACAATTTCATAGTTACAAAGATTAGGCACAGCATCAAAAGGGAATTCGTAAGATTTAAATGTCTGGATATATTAGGTACACAGTTTGTTACTTGATTGCAAGGCCTATACTTACGAAATTTGATCGCATATAAATCCACAAACACCTTTAGCTTTATGACGTTTCACAAGTCCGACAAAATATAGCATAAAATAGATATACAATATAGAAAATCGAAAGAATTTCACATACCGTATCGAAAACAGTGGACCGGACTCCTCTCTTCTCCAACTGGAGAGCACAAAGAAGACCAGACATGCCACCGCCGATTATGGCAACAACCGGGTCCTCAGATATCGGTGCAGTGAACGTCACTTGTTCTTGTTTGAAAGTTTTTCTCAAAACTGACTTCCTGGAGCTTCCATAAGATGACCTCCTGGGAGTTTTGCGAGTGGTTTTCTTGGGTCCATCTATGGACGACTTCTTTGAGCAGCCGAGGATTGGGTTGAGAATATTGCCGTTGGTGGTGGGTGATGTGAAAACAGTAACGGAGTGATGTTTTGTGAACTTATTAGGTATTTGAAGAATGAAAGTAGAAGAGAGGAGGTGGTGGTTGCAGGCGGTATGCATGGTAGTTATCGGGGGTTGGTCGTTTTTAGTCGGAGACAGAACCGGCGGTCTGAGCGGAGGATAAGGAAAGCACTTCTTCTGCCTGAGCAAATTTTGGTTTGGCTTCACCCGACTCTTCGAAACTCGTACTTTTTAAGTTTTTACCTTTTTTTTCCGATGGTAAAACTTAAAAGGGATGTGACCACACGTAGATTCCATTTTCAATGTGTGATGATAATCTAGATTTCAATCAATTTCCTTACAAAAACGCTCTCTAGTACGTAACCAAAACTGATCACGAATTTGACCCTTTTCCGTGCCACCATCTTCATATATGTCGATCCATGCCCTTGCTAATTCAACTTCTTTTTTTTTGTGTTCATCTTCTCATATCAATCTTCCTTTTTTTTTGTTAAGGTTGTTGTTGTTTTTCGTGTTCTTCGTGTTCGGTTGAAGGTATGAATGGTGGTTGGGATGGAAATTAGGTTTGAGGTTGAGATTGGAAATGGAATTGTTGGAACATTTGGAATTGTAAATAATAACTAGGAACATCATCCATTTGTGGTCGGTAAGGTGGTGGTGATAACGGGTCCTAGCCGAAAAGTGTGAAATGATTGTTAACATTTTGGTTTGGAGCACTTTGATTTGAAGAGTTTGTATTAGATGATTTACTTTATTTTTAGTCATATTAATTGTAATTATTTAGTCGTATCCATCAATTATCCCCTTGATTGTAGGGGTAATTTTGTAAACTTCTCTTTATATAAACATGTTTCCACCTCTAACATCTTTGAGGTGAATTTACTAGAATCTCACATGGTATCAGCCATTCTCTCTTTCTATCCTCCTTTATCTCTTTTCTTTTAACACTTCATCGTCCTTTTTTTTCTATCCCGGGCAATATGTCTTCTTCTATTTCTCAAGATAGTTCTCTCTCTATGAATACTATTCTCCATATGATAACTATTAAGTTATCATCCACTAATTATCTACTTTGGAAAAATCATATGACCCTACTTTTTGCCTATCAAAAGTTATCTGGTCATCTCGATGGAACCCTAACCCAGCCGCCTCCCACCATAATCTCTGATAACAAAATTGTTCCCAACCCAACTCTATCTTCCTGGCAGGAGAATGATTAACGAGCCATACTTATATTAAATGCTTCCCTCACGTAAGAACCGCCGGATGAAGTTTTGGGTCTCACCAATGTTCGCGATATCTGGCTTGCGCTTGAAAATGCTTACAGCAATTCTTCAGTTGAGCGTATTCACTCGCTACGTGACATGCTTCGTTAAATCAACAAATGGACGACTTCAGTATCTGACTTTGGTCGCTGGTTCAAGACACTATGTGATCAATTGGCAGCGATTGGAAATCCCGTTGCCGACATCGACAAGGTTCACTGGTTTTTTTGTGGTTTAGGGGCTTCCTTTGAGACTTTTTCTACAACAATCAGGGCTACAAAACCATCCCCAAGTTTCCGTGATTTGCTATCACAGGCAGAAAGCCATGAGCTTTTTCTCCAGTCAATTCATGGTGCTTCTCCCCCACCGGCTGCTTTTCAGGCTCAATACAGTCCCACTCATTCTTCTAATCGGGGGCGTAATACAGGTCCTGGCTATCGCGGGAACAACAGTCGTGGCTCTCAATGGGATTGTTCTGCTGGGCGACGCCCCCCCCCCCCCCCATTGTCAGTTATGTAGAAATAATTGTGACAACCCGAAATTTCCATTTTGTACGAACTTTATCAGGTCAATAGAAGTTATAACAGTCACAGTAAATTTTCAGACTTTTCTGTATAAGTTTGAGTATTTCGGGATTTACACTTAAGGAGATATTAGGAGAGTGGATGCACCAGGGTTTTGTGCAAAACTGTTATTCCAAAACTCTATTACATTAGAGTTCATTACGGGAATAAAATATTTTCTGCCAAAAATCTCAGGACTATATATAGAATTTTGAGCCATATTCATTCATTATTGACAATTCCAACTAGAGAAAAGCCATTTCTCTCTCACGTTCGGGTTTTCATCCTAAATCGTGAGTACCCTTCTCTAGTTATATTATATGGCTTATAACATGTTTAATAACATCGATTACATAGCAAAACTGCAAGATTCGGGAGTTTACCTCCCAAGAACATCTTGGGGAGTAAACTCTTATATAAGGCTTACATGATGCCTAGTCCCTTCCACCTGTTAAATAACGAACTTAGGCTTGTATGTAAGTGTATTTAAGACAAGAAAACATCAAAGAAACACCCAAGTTTAGGTGTTCACGGCCCAAGAAGTTCTTGGACCGTGAACTCCAAAAACAAGGACCAAAGAGTGTTTTTAACACTCCTAAAGCTTTGGACAATTACCTAGACTTACTCCTAGTTATTTGAGGGACCTTAAAACATCATAAACCCCTCCCAAAGAGAGATTATGGCCGTAATCTCTAAGGGAAAAGGCTCTTGGGTTGTAAACATGAAAGAAGGGCACCAATGTGTGCCTAAGGACTTCATTAGCCTTAGATAAATGTATAGAACTTATCCTACATGAGTTTGGGACTTGAAAGCACAAAAATATCCACTTCCATATGAGTTTACGGCAGTAAACTCAAAAGGAAATGGTCTTTGGGCCGAAAACTCCTAAAAGGAGTGTTTTGATACCCTAAACCCTTCCAATGATTAAACCACCAAGTCAAATTGCTTCTAGAAATCATTTAGGACTTCAAAACACAAAATGACACTAAGTCTAGGAGTTCACGGTCGTAAACACAAGGGTTTACGACCGTAAACTTCCTTGTGTGGGGTTATATGGAGAGTAAACTCAAGTATGAAGTCCCTTGGAAACCCTAAACTCACTAGCCTTGTCCCAAAACAACTTAGATGCAATCCTTAGGGCTTATAACACTTATATAAAGTGTTTATTATGTTCTAGGATGTCTTAACATTATCAATTAGTAGTTTATGACTAATTGGATACATATATGTGGTATTATATGTTAACTACGGTTATAAAGTGTGTTCAAGACTTCACTTGTCACCTAGCGATCCTACATCTTCAGTTCATCCATACCACTCACTACAGGTGAGTTCATACCCCTTAACCAATTATTTAAATGTTTTTAAATGCTTCATGGGGGGTGATGTGCGTAAACTCACTTAGTTTTAATCCTACTTTTAGTTGTAAAATAAACACAAAAAGGCAGTGTACCTATCAATTGTGGAATAGTTTAGGCAAGTAGGGTATCGAACACAGGGAACGATAAATTAAAAATAAAAACTAATTCTATCTAAATTAATTAATAAGTAGATGGTTTTCTCTAGTTTTGCAAGACTAGAAACTTACTAACTATTACTTAATCTAAAAACTAGAAAAACAGAGAATTAACTAGATTCAATAATGCGAAGGAACTTCTGTTTAGTTCAACTCAATTGATCCTATGGTTGATTTCAAGGTAATAGTGCAATGGATTAATTCTTTCGTTGGTTACCGATTCACGTGATTAGGTTCGTGTTCACTACACTAATCCTTAGCAAATAAACTAACTTAAACAGTGACCAGTTGTCTAATTCAATTTAGTTCACTAGATTAATTATTCGGATTACTTTAGACTTACAATAGTTAATCAATTTGGTTTTAATTAACTTCTTGTTGATGGTCATCACACAAGCTTGCACATAAATTTACTTAATTTTCTTATTAATCCTAGTTTCATGTTCATTAATCCTAGACATATAGCAAAGTAGTCACAAGATATATGAGGTTGATAATCAAACGATGTTCATGCTATTTAATTATCTTCCTATTAACAGAAAATTAATTATCATTCACACACAAGGTTCTTTAGCAAGCTAAAATAACAAATAAATCACCAACATTAAATTATTCCTACCAATAATCAAACCATAGTCTCAATTTTGTATCCCCAAACAGAAGTTTAAGAGTTTTAGCTCATGATTGAAGTAAATAACAGCACAAAAACGAATCCTAATTGTCTAACCATAATGGAAAACAAAAGATTAAGTATAATGATGGAATTTGCCTCAAATCTCCTTCGGGATTGAATTGTAGCTTCTATCTTCGTCTTCTAGGGTTTCTCTAGCCTCTGAATCGCAGCTAATTACTCCAGAATTATCCCCGAGGTTTTTTTCCTCGATCTGAGAAGTTATCTATATATTTGCGTATCGACTCGTCGAGTCCGTCTCACAGTATCTGTATGCGATAAGCATCTGGGTTCCCGGGTCATTATCCTCACTTGGACTCGCCGAGTAGTCGATTCTACTCACCGAGTAGGTGCTCTTTTTGGTGTTTTTCTTCTTTATCCAATTCCCGAGCTCCTAACCGCTTCTCCTGCTTCCTTTTGCTTCTGAGCTTCATTTTTGGACTGAAAATGCAATTTAAACACTTTTAAGTACCTTTTGTCCATGAAATGCAATAATTTAGCTAATAAATGAATAAAAATCTATACTTAATACAAATTAATATGCACATATCAAAATACCCCACACTTGACTTTTGCTTGCCCCCAAGCAAAACTGAATTTTAAGACATTAGAATTATGTATGACAACTCCAATCTAACCCAGCCATTATGCCAAGACCGCAACGCATGCATTTGTAACTAAAATTTTTCCTAAAAACCCCTCATACTCCAAATACTCACAATCCTCATAAACATTCGCCCACTCACCCCGAACTATGCTCATTTTATGCAACCCTCCGAATCCATCCTTAGAAAACCTCTTACCCTCAAGGTATTTTTAATTGAGCAACTCAAGCATACATAATCTAGAGTTACAACTTTTCGATACCACTATGGAGCTCTTTGAATTCTTCACTTCCTTGATAATTTGTTCTTTGATCTCTTTGAATTCACCACCTTGTTTTGATTGATTTTTGGTATCTTCAACTTTTTGGATTTCTTGGAATTTTGATCTTTAGATCTTCACTTTATTTGCTCCAAAATTCTTACAACTTTTCTAGTAATTCTCTCTCTTTTTTTTTATATGTATTCCTCACTTTTTTCACT